ATAACGAAAACAACTAATGAGTACTCACATGATTCGGTTTAGACTGCAACCGTTTCTTTTTCATTTTGTTGCTTTTTTAATTGTTAAAAAGTTAAATTGACAGTTTTCTTTATAAAGGGGGAGGTTGCTAGAAAATGCTTCGTCTAATGAGGTTTGAAGATTACTTTTGTAACCATTCTACGTCTTGACTTAAAATCAAGAAACACTTTACATATCATCCATCGCTTTGACGTTAAAGCATTAATTAAATTTTGCAAGTTTTCACCTTTTGCCAATAAACTGAAAAATAATATTGAACAGAACATAGAAAAGTATATCTCGACATCACCGATCGAAGAAATCTAATATTCCATTTTGCAATGTCTGAAGTGACGACATCGGTTGCAGCATAAACCTAAATATTAAATACTTTCGTGATTTCTCCTCGATTGCGAAGAAGAAAGAGAGACGACACAAAGCATAATCTTTTCCTCGAATCGCTTAATAAATCCGCAACACTTGGATGAAGAGCAATACTTTGAAAAATGCAATTTCGGTGCCCGCGATCATCCAGGCCACAATCGAAACAATAAAGCATAGTTATTAGATTCTTAACCGGTAAAATATGTAGAAATTGTATACGAGCTGTACATCCCCTCTTCTCAACGACTGCCAGCGAATCGAAAGAAAGGTTGCAAAAATACAAAAACAATGTTTTAAAACCCCTTGCAGATCGGGTATTCTAGATTTCTGAATCTCAGTACTGGTCTTTCAAGAAAAAGCACAAATCACCATAAGTCACTTGCGCCCTCAAAATATTGAAAAGGAAAACTTTTACTAAGAAGAGTTCGTGTAAAAAAACCTCAAAAAGCGAATGCTTGACCCCTGTCTGCCATTGTCTGCCATTAGTCTTCTTTACTCGCTTTATTATCTATTTCGCTAATTTCCGCCTACAGAAGAAGACTGCGTGGAAAACATTTCACCTACGATATATGTAAGAGATTGTTGATCATTAGGAAGAATGCTTTGGGAAGCAAAGAAAATGATTATCTATATAAGATTTTTCTTGATTTAAAGAGCTAGGGCTAGTATAAGTTACCAAAGCGTTGATAAATTTATTCTACTATCATAATTTAATAAATAATTCCTATAATAACAATACTTTAAACTTTCAGTATCGTTGCAATATCTTTACATAATGTTGATGTAGTTTCCTTGTGATTTTCTTTAATGATATTTGACATTATTTCCGCTTTCGGTAATGGCTCTAGTGACGGCAATTTGGTAAGAACAGCTATCTGCCCTCCTACCATCGTGCATAACGAATACGAAGGAAAGCAAAGCAGGGTACATATTATATAAGCCAAACGAGCACAGCATCATTTATCTGGAACACCCATACATTTATATATAGACATTCATAATATAAAAAGCAGGGTGTTGGCTCCATTCATACAATTACTGTCGCTTACAATAAATTCAATAAGTATTCGTTTACTTACTGTAAAGAGTTTAAATTTCATTTTAGTATAAAGAAAAAAAATAAATAAAAAATGAACACTTCATATTTATTTATTCTTCAATATCCGTCCTTCATTAGACAGTCAGAAAAATTGTAATACCTCCGTACGCCTTTCCATTTAAATTCAGTCGCACTCCATTAAAAAAGTACTAAATATTTTGTCAATCATATTAATATTACAGTCAAGTTTTAAGAGACCTTTTTTGGTTAAAACAAAACGTTTATTAAAAAAGAACGGCATAAGATATTCGATTCGAAGCATTGTTCCGTCATTGCGCACTGATTTTCTTCTATATTGGGCAGAATATGCTTTCCGTAAATTTTACTGACGTGAAGTTCATTTACTGTGCGTAGGCCCACAATTTCTGTGTCTGCCAAAAGGTAGACAGTATTCATCATACTTCGTTCGCGTCGCTGCTAAGACAATTGATAACTAAATGACATTGAAAAAAAAAAAAAATAAATAATAGAAAATACACGCATAAGTAAACAAGTAAGAAAATTATATTTCTGGTCGTAACCGAATCTTTTATATCCATTAGCAGCGTTATCCTAAAAAGACAAAATAAGTATAAGAACGAAATTTTCATGCTCTCTATAGTATGGATTTTATCTATTTTCACAATAACAGTTTCTCTCGCATAGACATTTGGACGTTGTAGGCGTGTCCTTGCAAAAGTTTAAATCATTTCCGAACGTTTTTACAAATTTGTAGGCGATATCTTCACAACTACTACTACACAATTGGTCAGACTAACGGACGGACATTTCAAGTTGCATTCCAATCTTGAAATTGACCAAGAATTTATGTACGTTAAGGGTTTTTTGAAGCATATTTCGGCGTCTTATAAAGATATTGAAAAAAAAATTAATATTCGATCTTATAATACTAGGTAGGCGTGGTCAATTTTTGCCATTTTTGTACAGATACGACATTGGCCATAGAATATGTGTTCAAATTTTTGCACATTTAATGATCAAAAAACAAGCTATCTTGAATCGATCGGTCTATCTAAAGGCAAGGAAAATTACATGTGCTTAGTTCCGCGTTGGCAATCGAGATTTTATTTGGCAATATCGATTTTAGATACCCTTAGGCAAAAGAAGTATATGAGATACTAGCAAGCTTTACTCTCCAATTTCAAGAATGTCGTTAATAGGAGAAAATCAAAGTGTAATGGAAAATCTTCAATTAACAATCGAGGGTATGGTGATATATACCGTAACGGGGGTGACGCTCAGGGTTGTCCGGCGATCCGTTCCAAGAAATCTATTCGTTAAATTAATGAAATCTTCGTATTTTTGTATTAAACCAAATATGTATTTGTGGAATTCCAGAAGAGCACAAAATGGTCTTCTTTGCGAAGTTACTTCGTAGGGAAAGAAAAGACCAACACGTATTTAGTGGGCAGCCTTGTTTTCTTTCTACTAAAGAAATTTTATCCGCGTCTAACTGTGTTGCGAAAATGAAACTGTTTGAATGTAAGAACTTAGAGTTTAATGAGCTTAACTAGAGTTACATATAAGTTAGATAATTTTTATTGACATTTGAACAACAACTCCGTTAACATTCGGAACGGGTAAGGAAATCTGCTTGGTTATATTCCCTCTCACGTCGGAAATTAACAAGTGTCTGCTGTATTGTACAGATCGGGCTCTCACGACCCGATACCAAAAACCATCTCGTGAGAGAGAAATTCGCCCATGCTTGCCCGTACTAAAAAATTCGGCTACCAGCCGTTGATAAACACTGTGATGTTTCGGCTGGGCTTGCCATCCACAATCGTTGCGTGGGGGTGGTAACGGTATTCCGCCATCAACAGGCAAGGATTCTTCGGCGATTTCGTCAAGTGTATTCGAATCTATGAGAATTAAAAAGCCGAGGCATACACCATGTTTTGCATGTCGCCTCTGATGTGGATGGTATTAAGGTGCCATATGAGGTGGCATCCTTGGTCACGCCGTGGCTAGTTATATCCAGCAACCTTCTTTTTCGTGCGGGTTCACTGGATTTGAACTTATCTCTAACGTCATCGCACGGTGTTTGGTGAATTCTCTTAATTCGCGTTGTCTCTTTTTTTCGTTGGAGCTTGTTTGATGAAAGCGTCGTGTTTGGATTCAACCACGCAACTTGATGCTGGACCTCTGACACTAGTGATGTCATGAGCTGGGTTGGTTATGCTATCGAAGGGCTTGACTGACAATGAGATTATAGATCCACGATGTGTGCACCATGTTGGTTTTTTCTCTTTTCTTTCCCTTTATTAAGTCAACGATATACACGCTCTGTCTTGATACTTTTTTCTTCTTCTTCTTCCTTCTAATCGGAGGGACCCTCCTCGGGCGCCACTTGTTCCAGAGAGATGGACAATACCTAACTTCCAACCACTGGTTAGCGGCAGAGCTAACATATCCTTTCGGGTCGAGAATCTATAAGATAATGATGCAAACGGACGGACAGGACGGCAAACTACTACTACTTAAAGGGTTCCTTACTTACCTGTCCGTTCAACTGCTACTGAGCAACTAAAAGAAAGATCGTTGTTTGCGCGCTGCTTTTATAGCTGTTGGCTGGTACACCAATGCGTTAATATCTAGAGCTTTCACTACGAGGTGTGTTTATTTATTCTGCCACTTATATGCTCATGCCTACTTGAGAAAGTGACTTATGGAAAGCTGTATTCGTACTTATATAAAGCTATAAAACGAAGTCATGCACCGTTGGTACAGAGTAGCTCTCTTCCTCCTCAAATTTGCATAAAGACACTTTAAACACAGGTTGACATGCAAGAAGTATAGAAAAGAAGAAGGAATCTACAACGGCCTACGTTGATTTTGTTTCAAGCTACAATCACATATTAAGTGTTTGCAAAAATGTCGATCATTTTTCTACCTGACAAAATTATTGATTGAGAAAAATTGATATATATATATATATAGAAGTCGACAATAGATGCTGTTTTTTTTTACGTTTATTTCAAAGTTTTTCATGTATGCTAATTGCTCTTACTATGTATATTTGTATATATATCTCTTCCTTTTTTTTTTTATGTACAAAAAAGATTTCATTCGATTTCGATATGAAAACGAAAAAAAAGAAATAAATTATTTGAGAGTTTTTTTTCCATTTGATAAAAGAAGGATGAAAATATACAGATATTTATTAAAAATACGATAATTACTGCTAGAGAACAACACATTTACAAAATGTGAACACTTAGCGTTAAAGTTGTTTGTGTAAATGTGCTTAAAATTTTTATTACTACACTTATAGGGAGTCGGATATACAGACTGTAACAACACAGACAAGTTTGCAAGCAAGTATAGAATACTTTTGAGAATTTTCTCGAAAAAATAGTGTTTTGAAGAAAATCTAAAAACTAATCTGAAATTGTTTGCAAAATTAGGTGTAGATGATGGTGTGGTGGTGGGACAAAATAGCTAGAATAGCTTAGCTTTTAAGAACACATCCAGTCATTCTGTGTTGTTACCTTTTCTATTTTACAAGTTTTTTATTTATTTTATTTTTATTTTTTTTTTTTTTTGCTGGCAGAATACCACAAACCTAAGCAAAATCCTATAAATCTATATAGAGTTAGTTTTTCTATTTTTTGTTCTTATCCAATAAATTCAGTTTTGTTGTAATAACTTAAAAACTAACTTAATAAAAATTAAGCTGTTTGTGCTTCGCTTTTTGCTGATTGAAAAGAATTTCAAATGTAACCCTAATTCAGCCCACGAGAGAGAGCGGTGGGCATTTGAGTTTCATCTGAAACCATTTAAGTTGTGTTGTGTTTAAAATAAAAAAAAAACTATATACGTATATATATATATATGCTTCCTCATCTATAAGTCTAGTCGGTAGTGTTATGATGAATCAATGATGATGTTTAACATACAAGTATTCGGTCATTATTATATGTAGGTATAAGTAGGTAAAAAATTAATTTTAAAATAAAGCCTTACAAACTAATTGCTGGTAAAAAAAAAAAGGGTATGTTTAATCAAAACGAGTATGCCTGCTGGAACCGCTACTACTGCTCTGATTGCCGTTACCACGGCCATAATTATTCTCATTATTATAACCATTGCTGCGTCCACCTCCATTGCCGTAATTGTTATTGTTATTGTTGTTATTGCCGTAGCCATTGTTGGAGCCGTAACCGCGACCGCCGCTGCCACCACCGCTACCATTGTTCATGAAACCCTTTTTAAAAGTGCCACTCCCACGTGAACCACCAGTAATCGTGCCGTAACGAGAGCGGCCACCATCAAAACGACTATTACGGGCCATACTCTCTAAGCCAGGACAGATTTCCTAAAAATTAAAAGAACAAAGACAATTTAAAATTTAGTTTACTTTGGCTAGTTATGCTTCCGCAAAACATACTTGATTAGCCTCTTTGAGCACTTCAAGCAAAGCTTTCGATTGTTTGGCATTATTGCGGGTGAAGAATGCATACGAAGTTCCCTTAGTATTTGATCGGCCGGTGCGTCCTATACGATGTATATAGTCTTCCGATGATTGCGGATAATCAAAATTAATCACATACTTAATGCCATCAACATCTACACACACACACAGGATCGACATATAATAAAAAAAAAATGTTTATGGCAAAAATTCATTAATGAAATTATTTAAATAAGCTAAAAAAATTCAAGTGAAATGATAAATGTAAAGCTGCTTGAATTGAATTGAATCGAAATTTGGCATAATTGGAAAAAACATTTCATATATATAATTAATAAGGACTAGAAAAAATAGAGAGCAAATTTTATTATTATTTTTTTTTTTTTTTACCCTTTTTCTTTGATAGTTTATGTTTTATATATATATGTATATATATATATATAAACGAAGAATCATGAAATGATGACGCTTGACAATATTTACTTTGGAAGCAAGGTTTCAATTGAAATAATTATTCTTTCTTTGTGGTATTATTGATTATGAAAAACGAATTTAGATATGTTGTTGTTGTTTTTCTAAATTTTTTTTTCTTTTATGGATGGTTCACTAATTATGTACTTAAAAGGAAGAAAAAAAAAAAAAAAGAAAGTTTATTGTACTTTACCTTGTATGTATTTTGTGTATAGGGCAAACTCTTCACTCGTCGCTTAGCTTTCGTTCGTATTTTGAGAAATGAAACTGTGTGTTTGAAGTTATATATATATATATATATATATATATATATATATGTCTATATTTGAAGAAGGCGTTACGACGAAGTTGAAGAGCCTGTAGTATTTATTAAAGAAACTAATCGCGTTGCAACGGATCAATTTCCTAAATGATACCTTTTTTAACTAGACACACAGAAGCAGCAGATTTATTGGAATTCTTTGCAGAGTTTGTAGACTAGATGACGCCCGACCCTCACACCACTTGAAGACAGTATTCAAAGTGTTGCGCACATTAGCCATCAACTTTGTGTGGGGAATTGTGTGCGCTTACGGCTCGAGCATCAGTTCCTTCTGCACAATCACACCAACGTAGCACAGGCAATATTTATTAAATAACGTTCGATGTTTTATTTTGTACGGTTTCTCGTATTTTACTTTGAATTTTTCTCTTTTTCTTTTTTTTTCTTTTTTTTTTTATCACTTTCGAAAATTATTTAATTGTGTCTCAGGTCACAGTCTTTCATCTTAGTAGAAAATAATCGTTTTTTTGTTTTGTTTTCTTTTTTGTTTTTTGCTTTTTGTCAAGCTCTACGACGTTATTAGTAGTTTATCTTTTTGTTGCCTGAGTGTGATTTTTATACCAAGTGCTTGTCGGAGAGCATTTTATAATAGAGAGGGGGGAAAAAAAAAACCGTCACAGTCACAGTTCGTCGTCATGAGTAGTGAATGACTGCCAATTAACAAAGTCAGTTAGCAATTTCCCAAACTAATTATTTTCGTTTCCTGTCATCAGCACTTGCACCTGTCACTTTTCTCTCTCTCTCTCTCTCTTTCTTTCTTTCTCTCTCTCGCACTCCACGCTGAGATAATGCACTCCGACGCGTATTACTGCCGCTTTTCTCGTGTGTGTCCCCATCAAAAAACACAGGTAAAGACTTTAGATTTTGTAGTGGTCTGCAATAGTAGTAGAGTTTTATAATAACACGTTTCTGTGTGTGTTTCGAAACTCAAGTAACAGTTGCGCATATACATTTCATAAAGCAAACAAATGATTCGATTGTTACTGCAGAGGCCTCTGATGGTGCGTGATGATAGGGATAGATATGCTCCGATGAGAACTCGTTTCATCGTTTTAGATATTGATCTCTCAAGGTGGTGGGTATATTTTGTGTTATCGCTACTCTCATATTTATACACTCACAAATAATAATGTTATACAGCTTTTAATATACCCCCTCCCTTAGGTACTCCTTTTATCTCTGTGGCACGCCTATGAATTGCAAATATGAAATCGTTGGGGTGCCAAGTCTGCGTAGTGTCAGCGGTGGTGATACGGTATACGACACACCCTTTTTTCCAATTGGCTTGTGGTAAAAAGTGTTGCCGCTGCCGTTGCCGCCGCTTTCATCTTTTATAGAGTGCATTGCATTGAGAACTCAACTTTTCATATACTATGAATATATGAATGAATTCAATAAATTTTTTAACATTTTTGTTATGTTTTAAGTGCAAGTTGAGATTGTTTTATATATGTTGACATTTTATCCCCACCATACAACATGCTTTTGGCCTCTGTAAACGAAATAAAAAAAAGGAGAACCGGAAAAGAAAAAAAAAAAGTCGTGTTTGAAACGATGAAAAGGGGGAAAAAGGAAAGTTCCATGTAAGACACACTTTTTTTTTTTTTTTTTTTTCTTATACAATAAATTTCTTAAAATATTTAAAAATGCGCCGGACTTTTCGTATGCTATGCTGCTAATGTATGCAGGAGGAGGAAAGCGAAAAAATAAGCTACAAAATTGGACAAAAAAAACATTATGGGAATGTGGGAAGATATATTGATATGTATTCGTTCGGTTTGTTACGACGATATCTCAGAAATCTTTTCAAACTGAATTTAACAAATATTTAAATATCAAGGCAAGTGGACCGACGCAATACAATGTCATATTGGTCTGGTTTTGGTAAAAGCAATAAGTTAGGTTATGTTATTCCGAAATCGGGTGAAACTCGATTGATTTAAATCCAATAACATCAGCAATTCTACAGTAATAGCAAAGTATACCCAATTGCCAGTTTAAAGACAAGGCCGAACGCAGTCTTTGGCCTGCGAGTAAAATCTAGATAGTTTGTTTGCCAGAGATACTGCTTTGATGACAGCACTAAAAAAGAACCGCCTCTTTTCAAAATTTCATTCTTCGAGCCCATCTTTAACTTGAATACATAGTCAAACAATCGTTCCTAGATATGCGCGATTTCTATAGTCTTTGGGTATACTACTTTAACCCAAAAATACTTCCGAAAAATAATTTGCTTTGCATTAACGTGCAATAATGTTAACATTGAGTCGCCCACGTTCGCATTAAAAATACTAAAGCAGCACTGGCGGGGAAAAGACCTAAAAACGTCTATGTACACTCTACTATCCATGTAATTTTTTCTTTTGATTGATGACGGGGGGCCAAGTGTTAATGAATATGGAATTGTCGAGGTTTAAAAAATTTCACCTTTTTTCTTCTAATGTAAAAGGAACAAAAAAATGAACGTAAGAATAAAAACACAATGAATATAGAAAAAAAACATTAAAACAAAAGCACAATTTTAACGCTGCAAAGAAAGGGAACTTAACATATAACTGGTAATAACTTACCTAAGCCACGAGCCGCCACATCGGTGGCCACCAGTATATTAGATTTGCCCGAACGGAATTCACGCAAAACAAAATCACGTTCAGATTGCGATTTATCGCCATGGATGGCACCACAGCGTACACCAAAACTGCGTATATAACGTACCAAATGATCGACGCGACGCTTGGTTTCCACGAATATAATGATTTTACCAGGATTTTCACCAGTATCATAAATCTGTGAGAGAAGTGACTTTAACCTATAAAGAAAAGATGAAGAGAGGAAGAAAATAAATAAATAAATTGAATAAAATTTTAATCAAATATTCGAGCCATAATTCTATTACTTACTTCGTCTCTTTGTCATTTTCGTCGCAAATTTCAATCACTTGACGTATGTTATGATTTGCCGATAACTCTAACGAGCCAATGTTAATTTGAATGTAGTTGCCGAGAAAATCTTCAGCCAATTGTTTTACCTCCTTTGGCCAGGTGGCAGACCACATAAGAGTTTGACGATCGGGCCGAATTTGCGAGAGAATCTTTCGAATCTGTGGTTCAAAACCCATATCTAACATACGATCAGCTCGTCCAATACCAAATAGGTGCAACGTTTTAGATTTGTGGCTCCAGCAGCTAGGAAATCAATCAAACGTCCCGGCGTCGCAATGACAATCTCACAACCACGTTGCAAGTCACGCATTTGACCACCTTTAGGAGCGCCGCCAAATACGCAAGTGTTGCGTACATACGAAGACGAGCCAAATTCGGTGGCTACTTGTTGTATTTGCTGGGCCAATTCACGGGTTGGTGCCAGAACCAAAGCAATTGGTCCTTCGCCACGATTCAATGGCTGCTGATTGTTAATGTGAACAATGGCTGGCAATATATAACCCAAAGTTTTGCCCGAACCGGTTTTGGCAATACCCACAAAGTTATGACCGCTCATAGCTATTGGCCAACCCTGAGCTTGAATGGGTGTCGGCACCTTATAGCCTTGTCGCTTAATCTCCTTCATAACATAATCGGGAAAATAAGCTTCACTGAAATCTTCAATTGGATTCGGAGCTTTGCCACGTAGCGTGATCTCATGTTCGTCACGATAGCGCTGCACGTCATAAATGGGACGATTGGCTACGATGGGATGTTCTTGATAGAAATTTTTCTTAAAAGGTGGTAGATTGGAGAAGTCCATGTTGCGAACTGTTAGATCTTGGGTATTGCTACCGCTGCCACGTCGATCTCCGCCGCCATAACTACGACCTACACGTTCAACACGATTCTTTTCAACACGGCCCTTTCTTACGCCATGGTAATCACCACCGCCTCCGGTTTTATTGCTACCGGTGCCACCATATCGGCTTCCGCCGCCGCCGCCACCACCACCACGACGGTCATCGCGCCCACCACGGCTACCACCACCATAAGTTTTGTCATGAGGAGCCCTAAATTGAAGAAGGGGGAAAAAAAGAAGGAAAAAAATACGGGGCTCGATTATTATACCATATATATATTTTTATTTTTTCCTCGCTTATATTGCTGACCGTGATAATTTATTATTCACAGTTATGTCAGGCATTACGCAGAGTCACACGATAATAGAATAATATGAACGAATTAAAAAAAATTTCACAAAATTACTTAAAATAATTTTTCTGAACAACGATAAAATACAACCAACAATTTTGATGGAAAGAACTTTTGTTTATGAAAAACAAGAATGTTCGACAGATCAAGACTTAAAAGTCAACGTATTTTTTTCACATTTTATTTGAGATAATTATGAAGATAGGTAACCATAACCATGCTTTCTTTTTAATCAAGTGAGATATTTCGGAAGAAACCAATTTCGGCTATCCGCACCACCTCCCAGCAAGGATATATTTTTCTCCCTAACTGTCGCTATATCTATACAGGTAAGCAAAAACTGTTGTGTAATACTAGGGCTAGACTACTTTGCATTAATTACTAGATTATAATACGTGAGCTTCTCTTGGGAAGTGAAGCCAGTTTTCGTCACCCTGTTAATGAATTTCTTGCAAGCACATTATATTATAATTCCATTATACGCTTTAAAGGGATTTTGATGCGCTTTTCCGAATATCCATTCCTCTCATTAGCAATTATAGCGGATACCTGTGGGCGGGAGCGGGTAATGTGTTGGGTTCCCTTCGACCTGTAAGACCATTAAGCGTAATTTGCCTGTTATCCTGGAGAGGCACGGCACAGGTCAGTCATAGCCTTAGCTTTGCTTGAATTTCGTAATGGGAAAATTAGGTAGTTAGGGGAAAGTCATTCTTTTAGCTATTTGTAGGCTTTATGACTCCGTACCTTTCATGATCTTTTCTTGCGTGATTTTAGGTTATATTTCATATAAAAAATTAAATAATGATGTCATGTTAAAAAATAGAAAAACGAAATATGTCAATTTAATGCAATTTATTGACACAATACCGATAATGAAGTGATTAAAGTTTCTTTGAAACGAATTTAAAAATTGTAACTTTATTGCAGAACAATTTGAAAATACTTACAAACTTTATATTGATATTAACATGCAATATATAAAAATCAAGCCAAGTTTGCATGACCTTCAACGGAGAATAAATGCACAAAGTAAAAATGTACTATAGTGTAGGTGTTGCGGGACTTAATTTAATTATATGCATAAACGGAAAGGGTATGTTAAATTTTTCAAAACTTTGCAACAATTTCTGAAATAACCAAAACGTATTTGTATTCTTGGTTGGGTTTGAAAAATGGAATAGATTCGGTCTAGATTCGGTGGACATATAATATTCCCGCTAAACGTCATATTATTTAAGATTTTGGCTACATTTTTATTGTTCGCTATTGTTCAGCTATAAACAGACTCAAAAACCTTCGGCGAAATTTCGTTAAGTAACTTTAATGACGCAAATGGCTTTGATTCACACCAACAACAAGCAACACATACAAACATAATTCGACACACGGCGAATTATTATCATTTCTGAAATACGACATCCACCTATAATAATACGGTTACTACGTGGTACCCATATCAAAGAAATTTCAGTATTCATCCATTTGATTGCATCTTTAAATCTTATTCATCTGTTATTCTGAGCCAGTATCGCGCATGGCAAGTAAGGACACGTGTTTGATTAGTATATATAAATATTATTAAAGAAATAAAAAGAAAAACTAAATCTTTTCCCGCACTTTCGTACTAATTTTGAAGATAAAATATGTAAGAAAGTTAGATTCGGCGATAGACGAATCTCGCATACCCATCACACCGCTATACTTTTCGCATTCTATTCTCCAATTTGCCCCGTTTTCAATACGGACCTGCGTGCCGAAACTTTCTACCATATTTGGAATGGATATTTTCGTTTTTACGACCAAGAGAGTACCAACAACGCGCAGACGGACACACATCGCTAAATCAATTCAGAATTTCATGCTAATCAAGACTATGTGTATACTTTTCTAGGGTCCCTGAAGCCCTCCCTTTTTGGGTGCTACGTTCATGACAAGAAACAAACAAAATTAGTTTATCCACACCCTTCAGTGGCGGGTATAATAAATCGCTTAGCTTTATAAACACATATTAAATAGCATTTGCTATGGAAAACTAACACCTGTCCCGAGCAATTGCTCGGCAAATGTAAATTTCCTTATTATCTGAATATCTCTTGGACACTTGTCGAACTGTCAAGGTTTTGGATAAAGTAAGCATCGTAAAGATACAATGCGTTGACTGCCTACACGAGTGCGATGCAGCGTTACCCCACTTGTTTACCTATACCATATTGACATTAACGTTATAGCATTTATCTGTGAGTAAATGTGAAATCTACTTCACTGCAATCAAGTCGATGAAAAAAAAAAAAACTCGAAATTTCTTTTAGGTTACAAACAAATTATACACACACGAGATACATCTTTTGAGAAAGAGAGAGTGTATCTAGTAAATACAATATTGAGTAACGAAATATATTCTCTCTAATGAAAAGAAAAAAACGAAAAAAAAAAAACTAAAAGCGAGCTCTACTATGACTGTTTGTTTCCTACTCTCTAAACACACATAAAAGAAAAAGTTAATTATTAATAAATTTTTTAAAACGTGTTCACATTAAATAAGCAAAAACAACAATGCGCTTGAAAGTACAGACAAACGGAATATAGTGTAGAGAAAAAAAAAAAAAAAAATTTGAACGTTTTAAGATGGAATAGAAACTGATGACGCTTTGAATTCATGCGCTGGCACTTTAGTATACACACCTAAATGATTTTTCTTGCTTGATTTAATTAATTTGTACTTACATGTTATTAAAATTGTCTTCGATACGTAAATCTTTCAATAAAGTTGACTGCTTTTGATTAATTGAAGAAATCCTTTCAGCTTTATCGTCCAAGTTACTTTGTCCAAGTGATGGTTCCGCTTCGGAGATTTGGAAAAATATCACACTTGAACTATGAAATTGCCGATGAAATTGATTATTAAAACTTGTATAACGCAAACAGGTCTTAGAGCTTGGTATAGCTAATCTGCGATTCTCTCCTAATAATGGGCTTATAAGCTCTAACTGACCTAAGCGGTTATTATTGATTTTGATATGTTGGAAATCCTCGATAGGTTTTCTGTTAATTGTAGAGAAAAAAAAAATGGCGTCGTATCGAATTACTTTTCACTTCACATGATGAAATTAACAGATTTCTTATACATGTCGTTATCTTGTTAATCTCTTTGCACGAGTTTATCGCTGAATTTTGCACAAATATTTTAAACATTTTCAAAATTATAAATACGCTATTATTACTTTTGCTATTTGACAATTAATTCGCTGGTATCTGGAACCCTTACAAACTTTGAGCAAAAAAATTTCCTTTTTTTTGCAACTCGTGCAAGGCGACTAACAACCGTATATGTTCTTACCTAACCTCGTTCAAAAGCAGAATGACGCATGGACAAATATTGTAAATTTGTTGGATTTACCTCAGAGTTGCCAAAGCAATTGAAAAATCCTAACGCTTGTTTATGATTACCACAACAATATCATTTTTACAGTAGAAGCAAACCTGTTTAGATAGCGAAAATGCATAGTTAAAAAAAATTCAAAAGTTTTAGAACGCATGTATGTATAATGTATATGTAAATATGCGGCAAGTTGATGTTTTTTCTGTTTTTTTTTTTTTTTTTTTGGCGGTAAATAAAGCTCGCAAAGATTCAAAATAACAAAGAGTTCATTGTATGTAAGAGATGTAAAGAAATATTTACTAAGACTACTTGTATAGAAAATTTGGTGATTTCTTCTGGTAAAGTGAAAAGTAGATTTTTTTTTCTTCCTATATACTCAATGAGAAACCTACTGAGGATATAACGATATTTCGAGAAGTAAACAAAAATTTACATTCAATTCAAATATCGATCGCACGAGGTAAACGACTTTTCTGCTTCCCATTGAGTACACGTTAACGTATGTGCTGCCCCCACCTATTCCGATAAGTGTTTGCAATTCCCTTTGAAATTTCCTTTGAAATTTTTTATTAATATTTTCCAATTTTTAATTCTGGTTTCTTTTCATGAGTCATTGCATTCGTTGCATAAGCTTATTAAGGTAGCATATAAATTCAATTGGTGCGACGATAATCTTGCCGAGAAGAGGAGACGCGATAAAAAGAAAGAAACGTCACCACCAATTAATCGCTTTTATAAATGCATGTATGTTTGTGTATATGTATATGAATTGATAATACGTAGAAAAAATGATGGCTATAGTGCTTCAGTGTCGCCATACATTTGGGTAAGCAAAGAAAACAGTTTAGAATTTTGAAGGCTTTTCAAACTGTTGTTTGATATTCAAGGCAGCGGTGTATAGACTGTAAACTAAATTATTTATAAATAAGATTAGTACGACTATGTTAAAGCGATTATTGCGTTCGGGAAAACTACAGGTAGTATTTATTTCAATATCAACTAGAATATGTTGAAAATATTTACTAATACTAAAAAAATAATAGTGATATTGAATCATTTCTTGAAATTAAGTGCATTTACTACATAACTAAAAACAAGGAATAGCGATCTCCAATGCTTATGTACGAGCATGGCGTCTACTGCGACTATAAAAAAGTCTACATAAAATTGCTTTGTCGTACAATAGTTGTTTAAATAATTGTTTTGCTACTTAATTCCTGTTCATGATTTAATTTTTTTTTTTTTTGTCTTATCAGAATTCTGTTATTTCCTTCAAATATTCGGTTTTAGAAGATCAATTTCTACAACCGATTGTATATTGGCAGTTGTTGTGAATAAAAGTCTAAAATGAAAGGCAATTTTTTTTTGGAAAAATTAAATTGAATAATAATAATAATAATGTTGACCTTTTAGTTGGTGGAGAATTGAACAGAAATTACTTTTCAAATTAATTGTGTGGCTGTGAAAAAGTAATTCTTATTCGATTGTATTGAAGTAATCAGTAGCCGAAGATCTACAGATACAATACGGCGTACAGATGACGCTGTGCACAGTCTCAAGACTGCCTACATACGATATCAATAAGTGAGACAATCGATCTTTTATGACTTGTAAAGAACGCCTAATAAATTGTTTGGCTTAGCTCTTTCTCTTTTGTTACTTACGTACTACATGCTCTTTAAGTATTTAAATGTATTAAAACCAAGTACTAATTGGATTGGATTTTAATAATTAAATAGACACTGAAAAATCTGAATTTGATAATTCTCGATTCATGACAAGTTGTTTATAGTTTAGTTCTCTATTCTTCACATATATGTACTTGTATGTTTCCATAATACGCTTATTAAATAATCAAATCAATATGATTTATTTGTAAGATAATTCCGATAATCACTTATCTAATTGCACGTAACACATTTCGCATATACGATGTAAACGTTTTCAATTGTTCAACTCACGCGTGTACACACACACACACATATATATATATATATTTAAAAACATTAAATAAAGGCCTTTACGAGCCCATTATATTGTGTAATTAATTGCATTTTATAAGCCTAATAAATGACAAAAACTTTTAAACATTTTTGCATGACGGCCCCGAAGACAACCGTATAAATCATTAATTTTTAAGCAATCAGTTTTACTTAATGTTTTGCGTTGACCAATTCTTACGCCGGGCTGTAAAGGTGTCAAGGTCGGTTTTTTCCCCTTCTTCTTACTAAAATAATACTCGCCATAATGCATTACGGAATTGTAATCATAATCGAACGCATATTTACCACGTTTGCGTGAAATGAGTTTAAAATTTTTACGAAATTTCGGAACAATATTTTCCCAATGAACTTTAACATAATTATCACGATCGGCACGTGACTGCTCATGATAGATACCGATTGCATGCATAAGCTCATGCATAATTCGACCTTCACTGCTAAAGCAATGAGCACTTTTCTCATCCGCCGTTTGTAAAGAGACAATTTGTTCGCCACCCTTTTTCCCTACATACGACCAACAGCCCTTTGGTCCGTCCTCGGGCGGTGTAATAAGTAAATAATCATCAACTTCACCGTCGTATGGTACAAACTTAACACATGTAAGTGAATTAAATGTATTCAATGCTTTTAATATAGTTTTCCTTTCGTAATCCGTATAAAGATAACTAATCTCGTAAGGTATCGTAGCGTTCGGCCAGAGACGGTTTGGATGTTTCATTGGATTGACACCCAAACGAAACGAAATATATGTAAATGGATCTATAGCAATATCACCCTGAAAGAGTTGAGGTTTTGTCTCTGGCTCATCGAAGTAATCAAAATTGCTTTGTTGTTTCGTTACATCCAGGGGATTGTATTCATCAACTGAAATTATATAAAAATATATGAACTTCATTATTCATAGATATATAAGCGATCGAGAAAAACATATATACCGAAATCTTAATGCATTTTAGGCTTTAAAATATTGCGAATTTTTAATAATATTTTCTCAAAGATTTAAGCAATGATTTCTATATGACTTTTATTTTACATTAATTTCAACATATATATACGCACCCAATATGCTGGGAAATTCGTGTTCAAAATAATCCACACCTTTCGGATAATATTTGTTAGACAATTTAGCAGCATTTATAACTTGCATTAATATGCAAATAATGATAAACAAACATATCGACGATGCGTGCCAAACGCTGAACACTTCAAGACACATCATTTTGATTACACTAACAAAACAAAGTTGTTATCGTGTGCGTGTAAAGGTTTATTTTTTATTTTTTTTGTTTATGCTTTTAGTTTTCATGCACGAAACACAACTTCTTCAGGTTGGAGTACCGGTAAAAGAGATTGCACGCACGCGCATACTCACTGTTTTTATGAAAGACAAATAGACAGTCGATGTTTGGGTCGCACAATTTGCTACGATTTGATTGTGACGATGGCTGGAAGACGATTAAACAAATAACTATGCTTGATATCAATAATAGCTTTCGACTGTCGCTATTAAAGTCTTAACATTTAACACTTTCGCTCTTCTTTGATGGTTATGTTATTATATTATCTGCCATTTGCCTAAGTCGTCATTTGCGCTACAAATTTGATGTGAGAGACCGTTTCAAATCTTAATTTCAATGATGAAATTTAATAACCATACACACACGCAAACATAGATATGCCTGCATACACACACACACACACACACACACACAGAAATACAAATAATTAATGGTAATTGTAGGCTGAACCAACAATCGAAATGCTGTGGCCTCCTATTACACTGTCATGTTTGCTATTGATCTTCGTAACTTGATCCATTTTCTATGTCTTATTCGCACTTTTTCAACTGCGATGAATGCTTCTGTGCAATTTAATTAACTTCAAATGTAACAGATTTTAAGATTGGACGCAATAGGTTTAAATGGACGGAGAGATTTCCTCTTTTCTTTTTTTTTCTCGAATATACGAACACTTTATGATGGATCTGTTGGTTATTGTTTGGTAGCACAAACGGGTAAATAAACCATTATTACCGGCATAAAAACGAAGGTTGAAACAAATGACTTTAATCTCAAACAACTATGGATTCACTATGGATTAACATAAACGTTTCCGCAGAATATGTTAAATTTTACATTGGACTTATAAAGGTGCGAGTTTATTATTAATCTTGTTATAAATTTTTTAGAATTACAAAGAACATTGTATCTCTGCAGTGTTATACATATATAGTTTCGAACTAGGTGTCCGTCCTCTTCCACGATCTTCATTATAGATGTCTGTGTTTGGTTGTCTGTAAGAAGCTAAATATACTGTGGTGGCCACGAGTTTAGCATACTTCGTCGAAGCGAAGAATTTTTTCTGATCATCATAACTAAGCCTAATATTTGTCCTCAAATGTTGCGTATGGACTGAGCAGTATTTCCCGTTATTATTGCAAGTAATGCGTAACCTTGACTGGACACAAAATTCATATTGTGTTTGTTGTTTTTAATGTGACAGTGTGTGTAAAGTATTTAATATATTAGGTTGGCGGGAAAGTTCTGTCATGTAGTAAATAAAAAATTTGAATTTGAAAATAGTTGATGTGTTCCACAGCAATCGAATGGTGGACGCCGAAAGCTTTTGGTATTGTTTGAGAATGAATCCTCCGGAACAAGTTTTGCAGATCCCAGTATATAGAATTTCACCTTCCAGCATTTCACAAAAATCTCTCCAAACTACCTATGCTTTCATTCCTTTCTGAAACAGACACCAAATGTTTTCGCTTAAACGCTTAAACTTTTTCCACTGCAGTTTATTTACTCGGTACTTCGCATACAACAAGAATATCAAAAGTGTCCTCTTATATCCCCTTAGAGGTCCGCTAAATGATAAGAGCCTATATGACGTATTCATCCTGCTTGCCTTGACCTGACAAGTAAAATTACATACAAGTAGTAAACTACGAGGAAACTTTTCCGCCACCCATATGGATACGGAGATAGGGAGGGGAACACGTGAACATGACGACCAAAATGAACCGCTTCAACGGTGCCGTTAAAACTCCGCCGACCAGTCTAAAGGTTCGTCGTCTTTCTTTGTGTTTATTTGCTTGTTCCTTCTTCTTAAGGCTCGATGGAAAGATTGTGTGTTCCTTTGACCACCCGTTCGCTTCACTACATACAGTCACGGACGTATCCCTCTATCTGTCAATGTCTTTGCTCGCCTACCATTTTCGGTATCATGTGCTTATCCGCCTGACCTTGCATCAATTCTTTAGGACGCTTACTTGCCTCTTCTCGGTTAAGCGTTTGTTCCTCCAATACTTATTCCGTTCATTATACTGCTAGAAGCTAAAATTTGGCATCTACTTTGCAAATTTCGTTTCACAATCAAAGAAAGATGGAAAGTTGCATAGAAATATTTACCAAAATGTGCTATAGTTACAATTTCACCTGGGCCATCGGTAATGCCAAAATTAACAAAGCGCTATACGATCTACATATGTTCAGTTAGTGGGTGTTAAAGTGTATGTAAATAAATTATGTAAATTATGTATGTATGTAAATTATGTGTGTATGTAAATTATGTACTTGTGTTTTTATTTTCTATAATTTTTCCAAGCTTTTGTTTTGAAAATTTTGATGAAATTTATTAGCGATCGATGCTAGCTAGAAATATATCCCCTACATCATTTGTGGTACGGGGCATATTAACTTAGTCCGGTCGTATGTAGCACGAAGAAGGGCCTAAGATGGGCCCAACTTTTATTATATTGATCGATTCAGAATCATTATTTGAATTGACCTAAGTCTGTCTGTCCCTCTGTCCGTCTGATGTGTGCTTATGTAAGTTGGTGTTCAAGCTATAGGTCGCAATGTTTGAGATATTTTGATGAAATTTTGGTAGAGCCACATGTTTTGTCTCAATGACAAGCGCTATTGAAAATGTTTCGGTTCACTTTTGCGACGAATTGCAAAGAAATTGCAAAATTTCAAAATTTCTCGACAAAAGAGCCTAAGTAGTACTATTTCGGCATTCTCCTGACAATGTTTGCTGACATAATTGCTAGAAAAGATGGCATTTATTGCGTTGAATTTGTTCTTCATATCCTTGTTTATATTTTTTATCTATAAAATAAACTGAAGGAAAAGAAATTTAAGCTGCGTTAAGCCACCGAATAATCGTTATAGGATGAATGCGATCATTAAAGTTTTCTTGCCATAATTGCTAACTAAAAGAAACTATTTGTATAAGAATAAAAGTCGAGTTAAAGAATGAAAAAATATATATATAAAAGTTTACCTCCTAAGGGTGTGTGTATGTGTGTAGCATTAAAAAGAGAATATCAAAAATTTATTATCAATAAATTTATTTTTACGGTATTGCAATGAAAAGCACAGCATATATGTACCCAGAAGCTAAAGCTTATCAGAACGATGGCACGATGCCTGATGACTGATGGCATAGTCCCCGGTAGATGATAAATACAGTGAATGAATATTGATTGACAGACACTGGGGCACAGTACGTGCATACATTTCAACCACATAAATGTCCAATTGGCTCCGAGTCTAGGGAATGTTTTGAATACGAATTCGTTGTTCTTCTAGCCCCTGCGAATATAATATAAAATTGTGTATGTGTGTGAGTGTGTGTGTGTGTGTGTGTGTGTGTGTGTGTGTGTGTGTGTTTGTGTATATATAGAAATGTATTTGCATTTAAATACACACACATAATTTGAACAATTTAAAATGCAACAGTATGCATAGTCAACTCCAGCTGCCTTCATTACTTATTTTAATTAATTTTAATAATGTTTAAAGCTTGAAGTGGAAAAGAGCAAAAATATAAATACAGCTTATAATTGTGCTTATTACGTTCTTGCCAAGGCTATGTACACATTTTCCCAAGAAGTAAAATGAAAAGAGTGCACCGAGAGAGAGATAACAAAAAAAAGAAACAAAAAAAAAATAAAAATTAAAAACCAAAAAAACAAAAGAAACAAAAAATATATTAAAGAAACTTCATTAAAAGTTATTAAACAAAACAATTTTTCCTTTTTGGCTGCATTTTTTCATATATTTTTATTTTTTATTTCTTATTTTTTTTTTCAAAAAGGAAAAATTTTATTTTTTTCAGTTTTTTTTTTTTTTTTTTTTTTTGCTTCTCCTCTAGATTTTAATATTAACTGCAGAACGCTTGAATGGAAAAAAAATAAAAAAGTTTAATTTCTATGTTCGTTAAATGAATACAAAAGTAAAGCAAAGCGTTCTTATGAATGAGTTTTTTTTAAGATATTTATGTCCATAAACATTGAACACAAAGTATCGGGATTTAATGAATTAAAAGATTCAGACCTTAGCTTACTTAATAGCATTCTTTAATAGTATGAGTTCTCAAAAATCACATAAGCAGCAGCCGTGAGTAAACTTTTACTCACTTGGTGCATGGTAGAAACAAGGTTCGAAGGTTAGAACACAATTAGTTTTTAGCATTACAAGAAATAAGCGAGAAAGTTATAGCGAACCCATAGGGCCGACAATGAAAGGCTATGCACCATCCTACAGTTATTCATACGATAATAATGTGTTGTATGGGAAGTGGTCGTTAAAGTTATCCGATCCGGTTCATAATCCACACCTATCGAGTTTGCTCGATAGATATCGAGAACCATAATTAGACCCATGGCCTTGATAATGTGCATAGCCGAATAGGTTGAAGTACTTCAGTCTGTCTGCCTCTATGGCCTAAATCTCGAAGGAAACATTTCTTATCAATTTTGTCAAGTTAAGTTTGAAAATCTGCAAAA